TTCTATCATTAATTCATTAACAATATACATAATTGTGTTTGAAGGTCATAGATTTAAATTTAATAATACAAATTAATTAAAATACACAGTCAAATTAATTACAAGAAAAAAAAATGAATTAACAGTGATAAAATGTCAGGACACAAGTATATAAAATTATTATGACCCAAAAATAACAATTTAAGACAATCAATTATAAAATAAAAATATAAAATAAAAAACAACAACTTATAAAATGAGCAACAAATTTAAAATTCTTGTACGGAGAACCAGCATTTTTGTAATAATAAATCTCACAGTCTTTTTTAAATAGTATAGTAATAGTATAGTATCTCAGTAATAATTTTAAATTCTACAGGTAATTTATTAAATAATTTCACGGACTGATATTGGGAGCAGTGCCTCACGATATTTAATTTAGGCTCAATCACATTTTTTAAATGATGTTTCGTTCTAGTCCGGAAGTAGTCAAGCTCCAGGTGTATGAGCCTGAACGAAGCTCAGCAAAGGTAGCAATTGCCAACCCGAAGGTAGTTTCCAACCCAAAGGTAACTTAGTCCGAAAGTAATTCCTGCAACGGACAACCGACTGGTAGTAACAATCCTTTTGCCTCCGTCCTGAAATTCCACATACGGCAAAAGAGAATTAGAGGAGTACCGTAGTAGCAATTGCCGGTGGCGCGACCAGAACGGAGTTGCAGTTTAAATTGTGTAAAAATAGGTAAAAAAAGAACAATCTCTTATGACAACTATAACTATAAAGATCTTATAACTGGCTCTATCCATTTTCTACCACTACTTCCCTCCGTTACGATTGAAGTCAATAAGATGCTGCTTTATTGACTTCAATCGTAAATAAGGTCCATCTGAGTGCCCATTTTGATCAACCTAAACTCTATCTATCACGCTTTGTGGCATATTGGTTAAGATGTTGTCAATACATGATTGTATGTCATTGCGCTTGACTGTGACAGAATTCACTAGATGCCCGAATTTGTAACTCCTAATTAAACTGCAAAAATATTTTTATTTTTCATCAAGCACGTTGACGTTAAAGTCTCCGCATATTATGAAATTTTTATTAAAATAATGTTGCAACAATAACTCAAGTCTTTCCACAAACATCTTAAAATTAGCGTTATTTTGGTAACAACAAAAAATAAAGATATTAGATGTCAAGTCTTTCACTCCACATATTTCAGAACAGTCTGTTCTACTAAACCTTTTACAATCAATTGTTTCTACCCCTTTTGGAGTAAAATTAAAGCTCTCCTCTTATTTTTTGTTTTCTTGCCAAAAATGCATCCACGTCATAGTTTTCAAAGTGTAAAAAATGTAAAAAAGAAAACAATTTTCTAATTTAAAAAATGTTCACACAAACATACAATATTTTGTTTTCGTTCTAACTCCTCTAAGTATATCTCATATTGATCCCGTTTCTTGGTGATACCAAACACGTTTTGACATAAAATATTTAAAGTGGGACCCCTATTTTCGTCAGTAGATTTATGGTAAATTATATTACTTATACTACTTAACATAAAGCTTTTATTCATAGAAATAATAGTCAAGAAAAAGTTTTTGCTGTGTTTGTGTATGTACACTTCTTGTTGTCTTTGTAGAATTAATTTGTTGCTTAATCTTATAATTCAGAGATATTACGTTTAATACAATCCTCTTTACTCTATCTATAACATAATTATTACGGTAACGTAGTTCAAGACAACACACATTACATATTTTTGAGCTCATGTTATTTATCACTTTATTTATATTGTATACATTTAAATATTGGTTATAATGTATTTTCCCAATAATTAAGTTGGGGTTTAGTAATGAATTGAAACAGTGACCTAAGGAATTTCTAAAACAATATAAATTCCTGTCATGTGTACCAGCCAACATGATCACATAGTCATTCTTTGGAAATTCTTTACGATACAAAGTTATTATTTTCATTAGTGACAATTTGACTTAAAGATGAATAAGGTCTTAAAACGGAAGTAATGACGTAGTCCTCACGAATAATTTTCTCCAGAATCTTTCTTAACTCTCACACTGTCTCATCGGCTAACAGAAGAATCCTTTTTTATGAGTAGGTAAAGGAACTGACGAAAACTCTTCTTCATCTTTTGTTAGAGGTAGAGTATGAGTAATTTCTCTCTTTCTATTCTCTCGTACATTAGCCACAGGGACATCATCTCGAACTGTGCACACTGGTGACGAATTATTTATTCCTTCTGTGGCCGTGGCAATATTTGACCCACTCACACACACATTAACCCACTCTCTACTACCACTCTGATGAATTTCTCGTTCTAAATTAATACTGGAAATTGTAAAATCAAGAGCAGTCCTAGTGAATTGCTTTTTTTGTTTTTTATTTTTGCAAGATTTTTGAGATTTTGGCGTTAAGACAATTTACCTTCAATTTTTGGCTGCTTAATTCTTTTTGCAGAGCATAATTTTGTAACAACAGATTGTCAATTTCTTGTTCAGCGGACTCTAGTTTACAACGAAGTGTATAAACTTTTAACTCAAGTTCTTCAATCTTCTGGGTTTTGTCATAGTTAAATGTTCCAGGTAAGCTTCTATTTATTAATTCTGCCTTTTGTGACAGACCTGTGTCACTTAATTCCTCTATTTCTCTGATAGTGAGCAACACGAATTTTCAGTGGAGATATTTATGATCAGCTTGTCCCGGTTCCGGGTAGTTACAGTGGTTTTCAGGTGTAGAGTATTCCATATTATTACTTGAAGCCGAATAGCAGGTGTCACATTTCCATCTTTGTTTATGCTCTGTAGTCATTGTACGGAATCTTACGAGGACGATACAGTCGTGTATGTTACAACCATTACAAGTACGCTTTTAAAGCGAACAGTTTAGTATATGACGGTCTTTTATATCAAGTTGGCACTTCTGGCACTTTTTTTGGGGGTCATCTTTAGTACTATACAACTTTCAGAAAAGGAGAAGAAAATGAATATGGGAGAAACAGGCATTAATCAACAAATGGTATTGTGTACACTATCTCCCTCCAGCGGCTAATGGCAAAACTATTTAGTTCAGCTTTGTTTTAATAGACTTCACTGCGTGCCCTATTACTTTTACCGCCATCCAACGGACAGTAGCAGAAATCTCTCGTTAGTTATTGACGGTTGGAGTTTGAATCTTTACAATCATACATCTTTGGTTATAAAACACTTCCTTTGTTTAAACAGAGTTTTCACATAACCGAAATTTCAAAAACATAGCACGCACTATTTGTCCGTTAATATCAACACAAAGTATTTGAACAATTTTAAACTTTTAAAACTGCCTCTGTGGCCGAACGGTTACCATGCCGGACTGCCACGCAGAGGTCCCAGGTTCGATTCCCGGGCCGGGAGAAATGTTTGTATGGCTTACATTTATTTCTCTCGTGAGTTTGGGTGTAATTTGTGGTTGTCTATGTGTGTGTCCATGGCACCCGCGACACAGGGTTTCCCTAGTGCGGGGCTATGTTGAGTGTGTGCGTTATTTATTATTTATTTATTTAATTCACACTTAAAATCACGATAATTGCCTTGAATAGGCTGAGTATTATTTGGCACTTCCTCAAAAAAATATAGCACATTAATACCGGATAACATTTCCACGTGTGAGTTACAAAGTCTTCAACATTTACGGATTAGTTTAACTTCAAAGCTCTTATCCTTACTATATTCTAAAATAAAATTAGCACAGACGATGTTATTACTGAAGCGCCACCTAGCGGAAGGTGATAAGCGACATAGTGCCACTCAGAGCCTTAAATCACAAAGATCTGAGGGGCACCGCCATACCGCCCGACACCTTGAGACATAAGTTGACAAGTCCCATGTGCCTGTAATTTCACTAGCACCCTTATCCCTCGTAATGTTCATATTACTGCTTGGCGGTAGAAATAGGTAAGGTGGCAGTAGTACTTCCCTAGATGAATTCTTTCACAAACGGCTCTACTGCTATTAAAATTTGTGTAGTTGTGTGTACGCTGAAGCTTCAGCTTATTACCCAGTAATGCCGAGCGTGTCCATATGGGTACCAAATTTACAGGATAATTCAAATCAATATAATGGCAATATTTAATGTTTTTTTGCTATAGTAACTCTTTAGAATTACAGTCAATAAAGTTTGCTGACTAAAAATATATTGGTGGCACAATTATTTTCAAATTTTTTGAAAGTATTTCTATAAAGAAGATGAAAGTATTTAGAATGTTATTAAAATATTGCCGAAAAAATGGACGGGAGTCGGAAATAAGTAAAATATTTCATAAATTTTATTACAGTCTATATCTTTCTTGCATTGGCATATACTTCGTGATCTTATCTAAAGTACACGGATACTAAATAACTGTTTGCGCTGCATTTTTGGTTTTTTATGTGGTTCAAGAGCATGTGTCCACGTGGACACGCTAAGCACTTTGCATGTCTTTACATACTTTTCTTTTACTATCAGGTATGAGGACCTAGGAGTTTTTAAAAACCGATGGACGTTATATGACGTTTTAAACCTTTTAGAAGATGAAGATTCAAATGAGGGGCAGGTACCAGAGGCAATTTTTAATTTCACCACCAGATCCTGCAGTGTTAACCGATGAGGATTCTTAAGAAGAGGTCTCCGGTGGTGGGTGGATTTGACTTCAAGCTCCTGCAGAAGTGCGATATAGAAACCCTATTACCAGAGTGTCGAGGACAGACCTTCTTTATAGTTTCTAGTTATTAGTCTATGTTTAGCTCTTTGTCTCTGTCCTTTTTTATACTCTGTGCTTGCTTTTTCTTCTGTTTCTCTTTACTGTCTGTTTCCTCTTAAATAATACACCTTTTTCCTTCCTAAACCGCCGTTTCCTTCGCTGTCCTCGATATCCTGGTCCTTCGAGCCATTAGTCCCGGTCCTGTTGGAGCCACTAATCTCAATTTCTATTTTTCAAAAATATTTTTTTTTAAATTATGCTTACGAGAGCGCAAGCAGCGAAAGAGATGGCGGAGCCCTCACCCTCTGAGGGAGGAGGAAAGGATAAGAGATCTCTTCCAGCATCCAACTCGTCGTCGCAGCGCGCGACCTTGATGGCGCGGCAGAAGGCCGCCGAAGCCAAATTAAAGCGCAAGGTTGCCGAGCTCGCGCATCAAGTTGCGAAGGCTGAAGAGGAAGCAGCACGTGCAGAGCTCGAGGCTGAGAGCGCTGCGATCGAGGCAGAAAAGACTGCTAGTTGCTCAACGACGGCTTCCATGAAGCGGACGGCGCAATGGGTAAATGACACCCGCAGCGCCGCGAGATCGCCATCACGCCTTATGGAAGGTCAGCAAGTCAGGTCTGTGCCACTGTTGCCGGAGTGCAAACCTCCACGGTCACCATGCGTTGTTAAGGTACCACAATCTAATTTATTATGTGAGGATGTGCAACGCACCATGCGGGAGACGGCCGTCCACTTACCTTTCGGGGAAGGTGCCCCGTCACCTGCGAAGGCGCGCCACGAACCTCAAGATGTACCAATAGGCGAAGTTTGTCGTCTGGCTAACGCTATTACTTTACTCGCACAAAATTGCGATAGACCTAAATCAGTAATTATAGATCTAATCAGTTTTTCAGGGAATATTTCGGATTGGTCTTTATTCAAAAAGAGTTTTGATGATACCAAGGCTGCGTTTTCGGATAGGGAAAATATGGCGCGTCTGCGTAAGGCTTTATGTGGTGCAGCGCGCGAGACCGTCAAATCCTTGCTCCTAACAACAGATGATCCTGAATTGGTAATAAGGACTTTAGAGCTCAACTTTGCGCGCCCAGAGCAGATCGTTCTCTACGAAATAGCTGCAGTGCGCGCCCTGCCTAAGATGACTCGAAACTACGACATTTTCACATTTTCAGCTCGAGTACAAACATGTTTGTGCATAGTGAAACAATTAAACAGGCACGAATATATTTATTCACCTGAACTGGTACACACACTTCTGGCTAAATTAACATTAAATTTACAGGACAAGTGGTTGGATTTTGCGGATCATCACTTCGACCTTGAGACGCCGATGCTGGAGTTGTTGGCAACATTTCTGGAGCAGGAAGCTAGCAAGCGGGCTCGTTTTAGCCCCAGTCCTTTGTTGTGCAGCTCTACTCCTGACTTCGATAAGTCGAAGACGCAGCCGCCGGCGTTTCACCGGGTGCACGCTCACACCACAACAAACAAATTAACTTGCTTGTTTTGTTCATCCGACCACACAATAAAATCATGCCCCAAATTCATTTCACTCTCCATTGACGAGCGTTTGTCGTGGGTTCGCCAGTCGAAAGTTTGTCCGAAGTGCATTCGCAAAGGCAAGCACAATTGGTGAACATGCAAAGCCAATTCATGCAACATTTGTCGTTCGAATCATCACCATTTATTGCATTTAGATTCGTCTCATCCCAATAATAATTTCACGGAAATTCAACCGCATAAAAATTTTTCTACGTCAGCTGTCAACAGTACTTCAGTGTCACAAAATGTCAACATCAACGACAACATTTTTAATCGTGGCGTAACAGACCAAGCAGGTTGCGAACCTATCGTCTCAGCGGAGAGTAATGTAATCTCTTTTTCGATTAATGAGAAAGCTTTGTCTTGCCGTAAAATTTTATTGAAAATAGTGCCCGTGATATTATCCGGGCCAGGTGGGGAAGTGCTTACCCATGCTTTGTTAGACGATGGGTCTACGACTACGTTAATTGACGCTGAGTTGGCGGATGCTTTAGGGCTCGTTGGTCCCGAAGAAGATATTTTCATGGGCGGTGTGTCAGGTTCACGAAAAGTTACTACGAAACGGGTAAATTTTGGTATCAGAGGTAAAAATAGCTCTGAAGTCTTTAATATTTGTGAGGCGCGAACAGTACAGAAGTTATTATTGGCTAGCCAGTCGGTACGTCAAGAAGATGTGCTATCGTTTAGTTATCTCAGCGATATTGCTAATGAGTTGACGTACGAGCGAGCGACCCCTAAAGTACTTATTGGTATTTGTGACTGGCACCTTTTAGTAAGTAAAGACAGCCGTTTCGGGTCGTCGTTATGTCAACCGGCTGCAATACGCACCGTTCTTGGCTGGGTTTTATACGGTTACCGCCCGAAATTTAGTAAGAATATACCTTGTGTTAATCATTGTTCGGTGTCCGACAAGGACGAGGAGTTGAACTCTCTTATCAGAGATTATTATAAATTAGAGTCGATTGGTATTAAGCAGCACGAAACGTATACGTCACTAGAGCAGCGAGCGGTTACAATTGTAGAAGAGACAACGCGCCGCTTGCCGAATGGCAGGTTTGAAGTAGGTCTGCCGTGGCGCGAGGACGACCCTCGAGTGCCAGACAGCTACTATCTCGCTCTCAGTCGATTGCTTTCTCTTTCGAAGCGCTTTAAGCGCGACAGTGCATACCTAGATTGCTATACAAAAAATATTGACTCTTATACAGAGAAGGGCTATGCTGAGGAATGCGTAGACTCCCATAACCCTACCGACGACAGCTCTAGGCGCTGGTACCTCCCACACTTTGGAGTAACCAACGTCAATAAACCAGGTAAGTTGAGGATAGTCCACGATGCCGCTGCCCAGACTCACGGTGTCAGTTTAAATTCACTCCTACTTCCAGGACCCGACCTCTTACAGTCTTTGTTAGGAGTTTTGGTGAGATTTCGCGAAGGTCAAGTCGCCTTAACAGGTGACATTAGGGAAATGTTTCCACAAATTAAAATTCGTAGTGAAGACCGTAATTTCCAACGATATTTATGGCGGCCCAATGGCGTTGGACGTGTGATGGAGTTTAGAATGTCATCGCTTATCTTTGGCGCGTCGTGTTCACCTTTCATTGCAAATTTCATAAAAAACAGAAACGCGAAAGACTTTGAGTTTGAGTTTCCTGACGCGGCCAAAGATATTGTTCAGAACCATTATATGGACGACTATTTAGGTTCCTATGATCTTGAACAAGCGGCTCAGGTCGCTGCTGACATAGTCCATGTACATAGTCAGTGTGGTTTCGAAATGCGATCGTGGATCTCCAACAAACCAGAAGCTCTTAAACTCCTGCCGCCGATTTTAGTCAAAGACGACATTAAAGAGGTCGATCTAAATTTGGAGGGTGTAGGTTTTCGCGTGTTAGGGTTATATTGGATACCACACGATGACAACTACATTCAAATCTAATTTTAGTACACCAGACCTCGAAGACCAAACGTCAAGCGCTACGAGATCTGATGAAGGTTTTCGATCCTTTAGGGTTTTTATGTCCCGTCATTACATCGGGAAAAATTATTTTTCAAAAGACTTGGCAGTCGGTGAAGGAGTGGGACGATGTATTACCCTCTGCTGAACGCGAGTTTTGGGGGGAATGGTACCGCAACGTGGAGTCTGTAAAGTTTGTAACGATACCACGTTGCTATTCCGACATTGTTGGTCCTGTTGATCGAGAGTTGCACTCCTTCACAGACGCAAGTAATCAAGCTTATGCTTGTGTTTCTTACTGGCGTTTCGTTTACGCCGACGGCTCCGCCAGAGTTGCCTTTATTATGAGCAAATCCAGAATCGCGCCATTGAAGCCATCTTCAGTGCCTCGACTTGAATTGCAAGCCGCGCTGTTAGGGGCTAGGTTCGCAACGACGATCTGTGAGCAGCACCGAATTAAGCCCACTAAGCGATATTTCTGGTGCGATTCACAGACCGTCCTCGCTTGGATCCGGAGACCTGCTGGTGATCCTAACACCTTCGTGAGAAATCGTATTGGCGAAATCTCCGAACTTACTCAACCTCACGAGTGGTTTTGGATTCCATCCGAGCTTAATGTGGCTGATGATGCCACTCGAGTCGTGACAGGTGGTATGGATTCGCTAAGCAGATGGCTACGGAGCCCCGACATCTTATTGTCGGGACATATAGAGTTCCCCGCTGAACCGTGTAATCTAGTCAGTGATCACAATGTCAAAGCATTTTTAACGTTAGCTCCTTCCAGGCCCTTCAACATTGTACATCCAAAATGTCAGGATTTTGTTTCTTGGTATCGGCTTCTCCGTGCCACAGCTCGAGCCCACCAGTTTTTACGCCTCATTAGAAAAAAAGCTTTTTTTAAAGCTGCAGATTGCCAGATATGCAAGAACAGGAAAGCCAAGCCATCCGTTCCACCGACTGGAGACTTGCCTGCTGAACACCTCATCCATCACCAGCGTCCCTTTTCCATTTCTGGTTTAGACTATTTCGGCCCTGTGGAAGTCGCTGTAGGACGTCGTAGAGAGAAGCGATGGATCGCCCTATTCACCTGCTTCTCCACGAGAGCTGTCCATTTGGAGGTTGTGGGAAGTTTGTCAGCGGATTCTGCGATAATGGCTCTACGTCGTTTTATGTCCAGACGAGGATGTCCGAAGCAGATTTATTCCGACAATGGGACCGCCTTTGTTGGCGCCAGCCGCGAGATTCAGAGGGAGTGGAAGTCGCATCAGCCGATTATCGCAGACTTTGCAGCTGGCAGACAGATCGAGTGGCACTTCCTACCTCCGTCAGCGCCCTCTATGGGTGGAGTTTGGGAGCGTCTGGTCGGATGCGTCAAACGAACCCTTGCAGCAACGCTAAAGGAGAGAGCACCTCGGGAGGAGGTCCTGTACACACTACTACTCGAGGCGGAAGGCGTAGTAAATTCACGACCGCTGACGCATGTGTCTGTTGAGCCACAGGATGCTCCAGCACTAACATCTAATCACTTTCTCTTGGGCCAATCGTCTCCACTCCCCGGACCAGTAGATCTCACGGACAACGACCTGGTACGACGATCCAATTGGAAAAAAGCCGTGAGACTCACAGATCATTTCTGGAATCGATGGGTGCGGGAGTATTTACCGCTGTTGAACCCAAGAAGACGACACAATACACCCGTCAAAAATTTAGAGGTCGGCGATGTCGTCGTGATATGCGATGGTAACCTACCGCGAGGAGTGTGGCCTAAAGGCAGGATTGTCAAGGTCCACCCCGGTAGAGACCACATTGTCAGGGTAGCGGACGTGAGTACGGCTGGTGGAATTTTAAGGCGTCCAGTCAGGAAGCTCGCAAAGCTGGACGTTAATTTTAGTGACTAAGTTATTTTGTTTTTTTCCATTATATAGTTGTAGCATAGTATAGGGTTTTTCAATAAGAACTTTGTTTTGTAAATCAAAATAAAACAATAAATTTAGATGACAATGATTCAAATTTTTATTGTATTAATAAAAGTAAGGTTTGGCAATTATTAATGAAAAATAATATCTGATAAATGTCCACCACGACCACAGTTACAGATGTCGATTCTTTCCATAAAGTTTTTAATCACTTTTTGAGAAAGTGGTGGGTTTATTTGGTTAATCACTTCAAAAATTGTGAGTTTTAAGGCTGCAATCAATTCGATTGGCTCCGTATAGACTCTGTCCTTAAGATAGCCCCACAAAAAATAGATCCTAGAGCGATTATTGAGAAGCCTTTGCATGCTCGACGTGTCACTGTATGGTGCGCTATGTGGTCTGGAGGCGTGATTGGGCCGTTTTTTTTCGAAGATGAGGCTGGAAATGCGGTAACGGTGAATGGATCACGCTATCGCGAGATGTTAACAACTCAATTTTGGCCTAGCATTGATGACATGGATATCACTGACATGTGGTTTCAACAAGACGGTGCCACATGTCACACAGCCAATGAGACGATCAATTTATTGCAAACCAAATTTGCTGATCGCGTAATTTCCCGAAATTCAGCTGTTAAATGGCCAGCCAGATCGTGTGATTTAACACCACTGGATTATTTTTGGTGGGGCTATCTTAAGGACAGAGTCTATACGGAGCCAATCGAATCGACTACAGCCTTAAAACTCAAAATCCGTGATGTGATAGCCGAAATAGACCCGACATTTTGCCAAAAAGTGATTAAAAATTTTGATGAAAGAATCGACTTCTGTCAGCGTGGTCGTGGTGGACATTTGCCAGATATCATTTTTCATTCATAATTGCCGAACTTTTCTCTTTGTAATACAATAAAAATTTGAATCATCTTCATCTAAATTTTTTGTTTTATTTTGTTTTAGAAAACAAAGTTCTTGTTGAAAGACCCTTTATTAGGGTCTGTCCCGGCCTGCTACTTAATGTAAACTGTTAGTTTACGAGGAGGGCGATGTCGAGGACAGACCTTCTTTATAGTTTCTAGTTATTAGTCTATGTTTAGCTCTTTGTCTCTGTCCTTTTTTATACTCTGTGCTTGCTTTTTCTTCTGTTTCTCTTTACTGTCTGTTTCCTCTTAAATAATACACCTTTTTCCTTCCTAAACCGCCGTTTCCTTCGCTGTCCTCGATACCAGAGAGTGTAATGGATGGCAATATCAATACGTATCAATACGCAGCGTAAGAATGGTACTGTTCCTTCTTTACATGGATGTTAGATGCCTGTTTGCACAATGCTTGACAGTTGCAAAGAAAAACAGGTCAAGGTTCCAAAGCTCGAATTCAGAAGAGAGATTGTGTTGACATATCTCAATAGGTACAATAGCAACCTCAAAAATGTTGGAAACACAAGCGCTTCCACCTCAGTTTTAGTTAACACCTCGCGTTGGACTAGGTTGTGGACAACCACTACATCATAAAATTCGACAAGAAATGCAGGTGGGTTGACCCCTACTGTAAAAAAATCTTGTGCTCTTAGGACTTAATGATAAATACCTAGAGTGCCCATGTGGACACGTAAATTTTTTTGAATAAAGAAAATTATTTTTAATGAAAAATATCATTGAAAATTATCCTTTGACCAAATATAAGTATATAACATTGAAAAAAATTATTTTCGAAACACGAAAATAATCCAGGCATTACTGGGTACAATACTCGTGGAATATTAAGAATATTCCAACTCGTAACAAAACCGCCTAATTGTTTGTGCCGTAATAATTCTACGTTCGATCGATCAATGACTGGTAAGTTCATTGAACTAAAGTATCATACTCAACTACAGGCGCTTTGACTCACTAAGCGTTAAATTTTACTCGACATCGTAATTACTACGCGTCGATTAGATTTCATGCAGTACGAAGCAATCACCATGGAAAATTGCATCGACATGTAACGTTAACCGTTCTTCTGAATTGGAGTTGTAGCACTAAATTTGAGGAGTGCATAAGTAACAGTAGTAGTAAGTAACTCTACCTATGCGTGGGGTATACGAAAAATCCGTTACTAGAATTGTATGTCCATTGTCTACTGACATATAATAATAATGTACAAATGACACACTTAATGCCATATGGCATTCTCTACTAGTCAACCATCGAGGCACACCACGCCAACAGAAAAAAAAAACAAAAAGGTTGGTTAGAAAAGATGAAAAAATATCATAAGCCAAAATTTTATGGTTAATTTATACAGTACAAAATAAACATAATACAACGTAAACATACTTACTATATTTATATAATAAACAATACATACATAATAAATTTACCTAATATCCTCACATATCATCACTCTGATACTCATTTAGAATACTGCGGTACTTATTTCATTACAGTCAATAAATAATCTATTTTGTTTTAGCCTTCTTTTCTTAAAAAGCAGTGATATAACTTATGTATCTCTTTTTAAGAATCTTCTAGATCAAGACTGCATATTGTTGCTGTGGGTAATTATATATTATTATTGGGAATTGTGTAGAGCTAAATAGTGTAATTCTTATCCAGAAAAAATGTGTCAGAGCCATATGTGGAGTAGGCCAGCTTGAATCTTGTACACCGCTTTTTAGAAAACTAAATCTTCCAACGCTTCCCGCGTTATACGTAATTGAGGTCTGCATGTTTGTTAAAATAATTTTGGTTTTATTTACTAGGAATCGTGAAATATGTACTTTTTTGAGTAGATATCCAAACCGCTTAGCTGGCCCCTCCCATAACGTGACTTGCTTTTATAGTATTTTTTATATGTCCATAAAAATATATCATGCTTTGCCTGCATCTATTGCAGGCTTACTATAAAAATATTCAATCACCAGTTATTTGATTTGTTGTGTGAACTGTGTGTATATGACATCAAAGATTTTTTTTAATGAAAATAACATTTTGTATTTGTGCTGTTCATAGTTCTTTGATATTGTTTATTTTATGATTTTATTGCTGTTAGTTTATTGGCATTTTTTATTAAATTTATACGACGTTGC